GTTAAATAAACCTCTCTAATAACGATTTTTTTTTAAGATTTTACTAATCAACTATAAATTTTCTGAGCACATTTTTATTGGAATCTATTTATCTATTTTTTCAATGTAATAGATACAAATACTTATATTCTAATAATCTACTTGACTTTACATGTATTTTTTCTAGTTTAGATTTTCAATTTACTATCACATGCTGTTGTAAAAAAAAAAATGTTTTCTTTATGCAAAGCTTCTTTGGCTAACTTATCTTTTCAATTTAAACACAATAACTTAAACAATCGTTCGCATGGTAATATTTAAAGTTAGAAGTATTTTATTTTTACTTTTTACAATTTTTATACAAATATTTTTCATGTTACATGAAAACAAAACTATATACATATGGAAATTATCAACGTTTCAAACTATTCACCAAATTTCAACAAAATATCCTAAAATTTCAATTTAATCTGAGTTGGGAGAAAATTTTCGCAGTTTTGTAGCCTTTAAAATTTTTAATTTATTCCATATTTTTTAAGAAGCTAAGTATTCGTGCAAATTTTTACAACTTTTTCTGACTGCCAGTCTTTTGCCCTTTTTTCTATAACAAGTGAAATTTATAAAAACTCGCATTCATTTTTTTTTTTGAATTTTTTTATGAGCGGTCATTTTCATTTTCTTCCATTATAAAGATAAGTCGGTAATAGTTTGGAGTGATCCCGCACAAAGTGGTTCTTAAAAAGTCGTGGAACTTATCCCGAAAGCATCTGTAAGAAGTTTTGAAAAGGTCCGTTACTTGTCCCAAAATGATGCCAAACTAATCCAGAAGTAGTCCTGAAACAGCCGCGAACTATCCCTAAATGGTCCTGAAATAGGGCTGATCCAGTCCGGAAATGGGCCTGAGCTGACCCCGAAACGAATTCAAACTAGCCCCGAAATATACTTTAAATAGTCCTAAACTAGTCTCAAAAGCTTTGAAAAGGGCCTGAAATAATCGTGAACAGGTCCCGAAAAATAACTCGAACTAGTCCCGAAATAAATTTTAAGTAGGCCTGAACTAGTCTCAAATGCACTGAACTATTCCAGAAACTGTCTCGAAATAGCTCCGAAATGGTCTGAAATAGTCCTAACCAGGTCCCGAAATGGCCCTGGTATACCACTGAACTACTCCACAGTTATTCATTTGTCTACGCAAGAAGCAGTTACAGATGTTCTGCTGGGTTGCACAAGAAGCAGTTACAAATTTTCTGCTGGGTTAAGGCAAATTATATCCATATCGAGAGCGAAGATGTTTAGATATCAAACTTTATTACAAGTTAACTCAAATTTGAGGCTATAAAACTGCATACGCTTAAATTTTCTAAAAATTCAGATTAAAAAGTTTGAAATTTTGATGAAATTTTTGGGGATTTTTGAATTCTTTTTAATTTTCAATAATGTTTGAAATTTTGATTTATATGGTCATGGTCACAGTGGTCATAACTTACTAGTATTTTAATTATTATTATTTTTTTTTTTCTATTTTAGACTCCTGGCTTCTTTGGCAACCTTTACAATGTATACACATATTCCTTATTCCCTCCTTGACTCCACTCAGCAATGTATTCTGTAAACTAACCATGCTCAGCACAAACTAACGTTTTAATGTTGAGTGAATCGTAATTTTTCGTATTTAGCCAAGTTATGCTATCAAAATATTTTTTTTTTTATTATTATTAAGCTATTTTGTTACTTATTGCAAGCAAAATTATTTAATATTTTTGTTTTATCGTACATCTTGCATACTTTTAGGCATGTCTAACTTACTTTTGTTCTTGCATGAAGCAATAAGTGTTACTAACAGCCGTATTCCAACACATTACAAAATTCAACTCATCTCTGTTGGGATAATAACTGAGCCTAACAATATGCCATAACAACTGTGCTACTAAAAATGAAAATTGCATATATCAAAAGAATCTACCCATTTTTTCTCACAGCTCCATTCGTATGTCGATGACAATTCCCATTTTTTGCGGCACAGTTTTAGGCGCAGCATTCAGAAAATTGTCATGTGATGAGTTTTGGCATAGGCTTGGAGCTAGGGCTGTCTGGCGCTTCAAATTTAATTCATTGGGCATAGTTTTGAACGCAATAGTTATCACAACTGTAATGAGATTAATTCTGTATTGCTTTGGAATAGGGCTGTAAATTCTATTTAAAAAAAAATAAAAATTTTAACGCCTATTATTAAAACTTTTTTCTTACTTTTTGCTTGTATGCGCTAATCCTATTATTTTTTTTAATTTCAAAACAAAACTGCAAAATAATCATTTCGTGAGTCGTATAAAATTTTTCTATCTATAAAAGACTTTTTAACAATTTTGTACAAATTTTTGTGTGCCGCATTTCGACTGACTTTTGTAAAAATTTCTTTACATTTCCTTTAATTTTTTAATGACTATTATTCAGAATTTATTTTCGCTAAATAACAATCATATCTATATATATATTTTCATATGCTAGATGGTCACAATTTCATTTTTTACATATTTATTAATAAAGTAGTAAAATTTATTATATAGAGCATAAGTCAGATTTTAGTTTTACGTGTTTTTATTTATAAGAGTACAAATTCATAAAAGTAGTATATATCAGTAATAATAACTAGAAATTATTCCGTATATTTTTTATGGCATAAGATTTCTTTTAAAATGTTTTCAAAACTAAATCTAGAATTTAAGCCAATTCAAATCAGCATTTCCTTTGTTTCTCAATTCGGTAGGGCTACACAAGCCAACCGATGTAGCTCTAAGCTGTAGGAAGATTCATGTAATTTATATTCCTAAGACGGGGTAACGTCGTCAAGCTTCTGTTAAAAATTGTGGATCAATAATCCGAATGTCTTTTATGCTCAAGAGGCTCTAAGATATGCAAATCAGAGACACGGTGCTCATTTTATCACATTCTGAAAATCTCCACCTAAGAGGGGAGTCACGGAGGCCGCTCTTCATAAAAGTATTTGCAGGATGGAGCGCTCGCTTCACCGCAAACAGTTTGGGTGTCGATTCCCTCCTGGAAGCACTTACATAAGAGGGCTTTATCGCTGCATCCGGTCGTAAATTGTATTTATTTTTAGGGGCAGAGTAATTCATGCCGCATTAGGTTCCCACGGCAAGTCCGTATATCCAGTGAAGGGTCCCCAGCAAGGAGGAGTGCTTTCATCGTTACTATGGTTACTATGGTTTGTGGTCTTAAACAAACGGAAAGCAAACCGAGACTCTCAGAGAATTGAGGCTGCGGTTTAGCGAAACTCGTATCTGATCAATTTCCTTCGGTTTTAAGCAAAATTATGGAGGATACTCTAAAAAAGTAAGTTCGTTTAAAGAGAATCCGAAGAAAACCAAAAGAATGCTAGAAGACAGATGGGTATGGATTGAAGTCAAAAATTTGACACTGGATGTACGCAGCTCTGTTATAATAGTCAGATTTAGGTAAGGATTACATTCCTAGCTGCTGAAAGCGCAAAGGATGCATCGAAATGCTGCCCAAGGGCATTTCTGAACGCTCTGCTCGTGTTTACTCCTTATAAATATTTTTTGTAATAGCACAATCAGCCCTCGGACTTTTGGTTACTGGAAAGAAATGCATTTCGGGCGTAATGCCAGCTAAGTAAAATCAGCTGAGGTGGTGTTGGGCAGAATCGTATTGGATTACCAGACTGAGCCTCTTAAAACCTGGTCTGTGATAGAAATGAGCAAAAAAAAATAGCAACTGTCTCTACAGGACCCCGGCCCTTGGTGTGAATACCTTTTAACCAGTCCAGCTGCAACTGCAAAATATAGGCTAAAGTCTTCAGTTCCGAAACATCGCTTACGAGATGCTACCGGAATATGTACAGCAATTAAACAATTCCCTAGAGAAGTGCATCGAAATGGCGATAAATCGCGGTAGTTGTATCCCAGACGAAGGTCTAGAACCAACCTATATATAATATATCGCAGGTATGTAGGTCTTTCCTGCTACTATTAGCCACCTTTTTCCAGTGCCGACAGATGCGGCCGGTGGTATAGCTCGAAGGCACAAGAACTTCCTCTGCCTCTGCGACATCCAGAGCTGACCCGTTCCTGGCAAGTACATCAGCCATGCCATTGCCATGAACTCTGCTATGACTCGACACCGAAAGCCTGTCAGCTAAAGCCATAACGTTCTGTCTGTACTGTTTTATTATGCTGGCGGTGGTGCTTATAGAGCCAAGTGCCTTGATCGCTGCCTAACTATTTTGCACGCCTCTTTGATGGCAAACACCTCTGCTGGAAAAACACTGGCCGAATCGGGTAATCGAATAGACTCTTCGATTTGGAGGTCGGTTTGAAAAATTCCCACCCCTATGCCACAATTCTTTTTTTGGGCCGTCCGTTAAAATAAATACTTCGATGCGTTCAGTAAAAATAGGCTCATTCCAAATTCTTTCTCGGTTGAAGCATCGTGCCGAAGTTTTTCTTGAAGAGAAGCGGACCACAGCAATTCTTACAGGAATACATGCCGTTTTTAGGTGGCCATAATCTTTCCTACTACTCATTGCAAGGTATTGAAGCAATTACTTCTAGATTTCTAAATTAAACATAGATCAACAAAGATTTATAACCAAATTAAGGGTTGTATATCCAGAGTCGTCTTTGTAGATAAATTTTTTGACTAATTGATGTCATTTATCTAAACCTTTAATCAGTATGTGATTTTAATCTTAAATAAATAGAGAAAAAATAAGGCAACTTATTTAAGCTTTTAGCGTTATTTTTCTCTTTAAATCGAAAACAGGTTTATAAAAGCAATTTAACAAGAAATCTTATAGCGCCTAGTAAGCTACATACTTATTTATATGAAGTAGGATTTTTATTTTATTTATAAAGTTATTTAAAATAGTTTATTATGAAAATATTTTAATTACCATATTTTACTAACCGCAAATTCTTTCCTCTCATCTTGTCAAACACAAAACCAAAAATATGCGCATGAACTCATAATGAAAACACCAAAAGGAATGGAATGACTATAATCTACGATGGAATGAAACTGAATATGGAGGCGTGAAAGATCTGCGGATAACACCGAATAAGCTGTGGAAGCCGGATGTGCTGATGTACAACAGGTGAGTTGAAGGGGGGATAATAGGAACAGAAAATTACAATTAACACAATCCACTGTTAGGTGAAAAAGAAAGGTGAATAGAGAATAAGAAAAAGAATAAGAAAAAGAATAAGAAGATAAGGAAGCTAAACAAATTAAAAGTAGAATAGCAGAAAGCTCTGTGCAAAATTAAAATAAATAAATAAAAAAATCCGCACAGAAAAAATTAGTTACAAAAAAATACAAGTACAATAATTAGCTAGTAAAAAAGGAAGAAAAACCCGAAAGCAGTTAGCATAGGAAACTTACGCCAAAATGTCATTCGAACACAAACACAACCACAAATTAAAACACACTAGCCTAACGGTTAACATTTAAACTTTAAGGGGGTTGTCTAACAAATTAATAACTATGTACTTATTTACTTACTGCAATAAAAACCAACCGCCTATCATTTGCTTAGCGCATAAATTGTATATATAAAAAATATGCATTTATCTATGTCTATGTATAACATTTCAAAAAAATAACATCTGTAACTAAAAATTTTTATTCGGAGTATAATTTAGGAAATTTTAGGCAAAAAAAACAGTTTTTGCCACAAAAGGTAAGCTCTTATTTGCATATATGTGCGCAGCGCTTTTTGACTGTATTTAATAATCGAAAACCGAAACAAAAAAATACACAAATAAATATAAAAATATTTTTTAACCCTAACAACTGCATCCTTATTGGAAAAACTAGCTATATATTTTATATTATGATACTATTGCTGTTTGAGTTTTAAAGCTTTCCGCTGACTTTGTGTCCGTCCTTTTATAGCTGTGCTTAAGCTTTTAGGTTGCTTTCACTTGTATTTTTAGCAAATTTTCACTAACAAATTGTTTGGTTTTTAATAAAAAATCTTTGAGTTATGTGCAATCATGGTAAAACTTTTTTTTTTGAGTTTCACTGTTGTATTTATGCATACCACCGTGCACTGTTTCCTGTAACATACACAACACAAAGTTCAGTGAACGTGTGAACGTAGCTTTTGAAAATGTTTATTCGCTTTATGAGCAAAAAATTTTATTTTTTATTGAAAACTTATTTTTTTGGAAATTCATGTAAAAACTTGGTTTACAATTGCTTGACTTTTTCTTTAATTTAAAAAGCGTTTATGATTTTATGTTAAAAATTTAAAATAACAAATTAAGAAAGCTTTAAAAGGCATTTGACTGCTTAATCAAGCATATTTCAAAGCAGAAATTACGATAACTTCGAAAGCTTTTGTGCTTTTACTGAACGAAAGCTAAAAAAGCGCTCTCCATTGTTCCAAATAACGCTTTCAAAGCTTAATGTTAGTGCAAGTGCGAAATAAGAAACGAATCTCTGCAATACGAGATTAGATTTTTACAACACTTTGGTAATGTAAACTACAAGCTACTTGCAGGAATTTATCGAAAAACTTTAAAGAATATCAATAAGCTTTTTTCCGATTAGTAATCTTCTATTAAAATCACTTATGGCCTGCTTCGAATCAATATTTCACTTTTCAGTGTTCCAAGTATAGTAGATTACCATTACATTTTCAAGTAAAGAAATATAGAATACTCCCAAAATCTCTAAAGCCTGGTAAATCTGAGAAACACCAGACTTATAGCAGTTATAACTATAAGATCGTGATTGGCAACAGCTTTCGCGCGTGCCGAGCTTTGTTTGAGCTTTATGTAAACTTAAAATATGCACCTACTGGATGAAATCGCTTTCTCTCTCTCTACTCAGCAATGCTTCAATAACCAGTTTTCAATTGATGACGAGTCAATTAAAGCGTAAATCAGTGTTGACTAGAGAGAGCTTTTATTCTGTGCCTACTTATATAAAATGTGTACAGAGTGTAAAAAAGTTCTGCATGCAAGCAAGGCGTCGCCCCATGTGTCCTTAAAATAAAAAGCACTACATAAAGCCTCTCCTTTGAAACCATGATGGCATAAATGTTGCATGCCTATAAAGCTTTTTTATGCTTTGTGTACTTTATATGTAGATGCATACGGGTAAAAACTTTCGCTAACTTTAATTCGAAGATCGCAATGAGGGGTTAACCCAATAATTTAGAACTTTATTTCTTGCTTTTTGCAGAAAAAAAAATCGTAAAGAACCTAAAGCTTACTTGATTATGAAAACTTCTAGAGCTGCGGTCTTTCTAAGCTAAAGGTGTTAAGAGAGTTTAAGCCTTTACTAAAGCTTCTAATGACTTTTGTCAAACGCCAAAGCTGTATTTATAGACATACCAAAGCTTTCAAAAGCTTTCTTTACAGTTTATGCACGGTTGGCACAAAATAAAATCATTCTCTGATCAACACTGATCTTAACCAATCATGACCAAAAAATTTGCCACAGGAAAGCTCTTCCTAAGTTATATTCTCTGTCCATCCAATTAAAAGTTACTGTCATGCTCGTAAGTAGATTTTTACTCAGTGTGCGTATGAATAAAATTTTGATAAAGCCTTTAAAAGCTTCTCATGCGGGATATATTTTCGTCGTGCTAGATTTAAAGCTTCTCTCTAGCGCTCGTTCTATTACTTTTGCTCTTCTGCTACTTCAGGCTTTGCCAAAGCATTAACACCTCCGTGAGAGTGCAAAAGCACAAAAGCTTAATATCGAGACTGCTTTGAAGTATGCTTTTCTAAGCAAAAAAAATTAAATTAAATGCAAGCTATTTACATTTTGCATTAATCACATCCACTCGCTATTTTCGTAATTCTGCATATCATTGTAAAAATGCAGTCCATAAAATGAAAAGCAGTACTAAGTTAAAGAAACTGAAAACAAAAACTTTAAATAATTTCTATTTTTGAAAATATTTATGACATATTTACTTTTTAATTTTATTTTTAGATTCGCGCTTTTTTGTTAAAAGTTGGCTATTTCTGAAATATTTTCAATATTTTTTATTTCAATTTCCATTCTGCGTTACTCAAGCGCGAATTGCCTGGATCTTTTTTCATTTTCAGATTTTACTCACTAATTGCTTTTCCTGTCTAAAGAAGGCTATACTTGATACTTTAGACTTTGCCAACTGTTACACTTATTACTTGCCTTGTTTGGAAAACGCTATTTAATTAGTCGTTTTACTGCTGATACGAATTCCGGACCCGTTGTTTTACTCCTCCAATATTAACCAACTTTTAGATTTGACGAATTTGAAAGAAATCGGTGTATCCCTATCCCCGCTAAGATTTCAGCACCCAAAATTCTCATTCCCCTATTTCGCATAGTAAGTGCTTTATGGATTCAAGCTCTTCTTCGTTACTGCAGAAATCATTACAAGGTACACTAAGCCCCCTACGTGCCAGCCTACAAAAATATTTTTCTACGCCGCCCATTTTGTGGCAACCAAGTTTGCCACTCCATTGCCATGACTCCCATGGTTCCCGGTATTAAAATGAACTGCCATTCAAGTTATTACTTCATGGAATTGGTTGTTCCAAAGGCTACTTACATGTTTTGATGACTACTTAGATGCTCAGCTCGTCTTAAATCTACATGGATGCGTGTGGCATGAGCGCATATCTTCTGCCGTTTATCACTTGACGCTAACAAATAATCTATTATGTCGTTGTCCTGTAGTATATTTTGTGCCTCAGGTGCGTAGCGGGGCAAGAGAACATTACGTGTGCCGCGCTTTCCCTTTTTCCTATGCACCTCGAACAGAACGGTGAGCCGTTATGCCCAAATCTGTTGAGATGCTCACGATAAGGGCCGTGGCCCGCGAAAAACTATGCTAGATGAAAACTAGACTCTTCACGAGACCTATTCAGCAGTTTTTGAACGTTGGGATGAGTTTGTGGGTAAACCACCCCTTTTCTATTAGGTATATATTCTTTTGATTATTTGTGCGAGAATATTTACTGGGACCAGTCCAACGATTACAAAGCGCGCTTCATCAGAAATTATGCAGAATCCGCAAACAGTTCTCAGTGCACTTAAGGGATACACGGCTGTTAATCACTTTACGTAACATTTTATCTTCATTACTTTGTCCCAAATAGGAGCAGCATAAAGTAAAACTGAGCTGACCACCCTACTGTAAAGAAGCCTTCTACTACATTTAGGACCACCGTTATTAGGCACAACATTCGAAGGTGGGTTCTGATATTTAGTCGACTATTAATCATAACGCCCAGATATTTAATTTTGGGCTTGGAAGTGATGGATTCGAACCCTACACTAATTCTTATCGTTTCTACAGCTTTCCTGATGTTTATTAGAACTTTATTTGTTTTGTGATCCGCTAGGCTTAAATTCCTAGACGATAGCCACTCCTTCCTACTCCTTTCCTGGATAAGTTTCGCTATAACCACCACGGCGATATCATCTGCAAATCCAATTATCTTTATACGAGGGGCATATCGATACGCAGAATGCCGTCATACATTAGATTCCAAACCAGCGACCCGAGAACATATCCCTGAGGTAACCCCGCTGTGATGCTGTATTCCTCAGAGCCTCTATAGCTCCAGTACCTTAGCTTGCGCTGCCAGTTCGCGGCTTTAAAGGACTTCTTTACGTCCAGCATTATAACCGCGCAATACTCTTTTTCCCCTCCACGCCACCCTTGCCTCCTTGGCTATGCCGACCACGGATTTAATTGCGTCTGTGGTCGAATGGGATTTTCTGAAGCCAAACTGGTAGATCTATATCTTCTGCGATCGTCGTGAGCATGTTGCAGATAATTTTCTCAAGAACTTTCCCTTGTGTATCCTATAGGCATAGAGGACTGTAAGAGCGCTCTCTCGGCGGTTTATTGCCCTTGCGTAACAATGCTAGGTTTTGCACTTACCAACTACTGGGAAATGTGCCTTCTTTCACGCATGTGTGAAACGTGTTTGTAAATAAGTCCGGCTGTGAGTATATCGCGACCGTCAACGCCTTATTAGGTATTCGGTCAGGCCCAAGAACTTTCACATCTTGAATGTTTGTGCAGACAGTCAGTAGTTCTTCATACATTGTTAATGGAACTTCACCAGTCTCATTACTCAT